GAGAGAGAGAGAGAGAGAGAGAGAGAGAGAGAGAGAGAGAGAGAGAGAGAGAGACAGACAGACAGACAGACAGACCGCGTTGCGGCGCGGGCGGCGCTCGAGCCACGTGTTCGTGCGCCCGCTCTGCACGCGGTGGCGCAGCCAACGGGGCCGTCTGCTCCACTCCCTGCTGGGGGCGTGGTCATGGCTGCCCGGTTGACCGCGCGGCCACGACCCTGTCACGGGTACCTGTCCCAACCTAGGAGCAGCTGCCAGCGGTGCCCCTCCCGAGGAGGCCTGTGTGAGACTCAATCCCCGCTAGGTGTGGGGTCGTTCCCTGGCCACCCCACACAGCGCCAGGCCTCGGTCTCGGCAAATTGATTACAACAGCGGATTGGAGCAGCGAACAAAAGTGAGGATGCGGGGAGGCTTAATCGATCGACATCTGCGTGGACGACGAAAGGGGGTCTGGTGGTGGGACGAGGGGGGCGCAGGGGGTGCAAGGTTCCAGGAGGCTCGACGGATAAGGAGAGTGGGGCCTGGCGGCCGGGGAGTGCTGCGTGGCCATAATGGTGCTGCTAGGTGGGACCTTTGTCCCCGTCAGCGATGCTGAGCAGAGCCGACTGAGGCGAAAATCAGTGGTCTGGAACTATGTCACACAGGGGGAGAAGGCGGGCGGGGCGAAGTTGCATGGAGATCGGAAGTTACGTTGCAACTTTTGTGGGCACATTTGGCAGGGAAGCCAGAGCAAGGCCGCACGACACTTCACGATGAAGAACCGTTGCGCAGTTGCTCCCATGGAGGCCCTGGTCGACATATGGAACCTCACACCCTACGAGTTCGACACGAGGTATGTAGGGGGGATTAGGGGCTACATGCAGCAACAGGGGATCCGGGATAGGAGAGCAGTTAGACTGTCAGCGGGCCAGACTGCGAGGGGAGAGAAGGAGATGCTGGACGCACTGAACGAGGCTGAGAGGGAGGAGGAGGAGGAGGAGGAGGAGGAGGAGGAGGAGATGGAGGATGAGTGCTGTGGAGGCGCTGCTGAGGGTGAGTGGTTCATGACATCTGCACGAGGAGATGAGAGACATAGGAGGCAAGTGGCGGTGCAGGTGGGTAAGAGGAAGGTTGGGGAGGGGGAGGACGTTCTCGAGCAGGCGGGGAAGAGGATAAGGCGGGGAGATGGAGAGGATGAGGTTTATGACCCAAAGTATCAGGTGCAGTTTAGTGATACATTCCTGCAGTGGGTCTATGATGCAGGCATTCCATTTAATGCCTTCAGGAGACAGACGTGGACGAGGGTGGTGCAGTTGGCGGAGGCCTTGCCGGGAGGGGTTGGGGATGTATAACCTAGCTTTCAGGTGATTGCGGGGGCTGGTTTGTCTTCGCAGAGGGTGAAGGTGGCAAGCATGGTGGGAGATGTGAGGGAACCTGTTGCGCACACTGGAGCCACCATTCATGAGACGCTAGACCGATCATGAACTTCCTGGCTGCGGGTGCCAAGGGTCCCCTTCTGTATTCTACCGTCTCCAGAGATGTTTTTTTGTGCTGGAGACAGCGGAGGTCGTTTCGAGGAGGTGGAAGGCTATTTTTATGGACTTCCCTCTGAAGGACGTGTTTGCCATTTGCACAAACTCTGCGCTCGCATACACCATGGTCACCTGTTTGCTTGCTAGCCCAATGACAGAGCCCGAGTTGCGCTGCATTACGCGGCTCCCATGCGCGACCCATGTCTGCAACTTGATGTTGTCAGACGTTGGGACGGAAGTCCCATGGGTGACTGATACCATTCTTCATGCCTGAGTGTTAGTGCGATTTATTATCGCATGGCGCAGTCGGGCAAAGCACTGGTCCAGGCCGTCGAGATGCAATTTGCATTCGTGTTTTGACTTCGATTACGCTGCATGACAGACGGGACGTGTTGGAGTCTACGCTCCACGACGACGCTTAGACCAGAGCATGAACTGCTGCCACAGGCTAGGTGGGCCCGGTTGCAGATCAGGGGCACGGAGTGGTTGTGTCGTGTCGAGTACGTACTCAAGTGATGAGCCCCATCCACCCGTTGTTGAGGAGGATGGATAAGGGCGGGATGGCCATGTCGTAGGTTTACTCTTGGGTGACCAGTCCGGTAGGCAGGGTTAAGAATGTTGAGGTCCCCCTTGAGTTGGATCCGTGCGTGACCCATGTACGTATACGCAAACTTCATATGTTGGAGCCTGCACATGCTGCACATGCTGCCCCCGTAGACGATCCCTTGGATACTATGACTCCACCCCACTGTCATCCTCCTCCTCATCGTTGGATGGAACCTGTTGTCCCACAGACGTCCTCCGTCCTCCCCTCGGTCCAAGTCGCACATTGCAGGGCCGATGAGAGTCGTGCATGATGAAGACTAATCCACCCCTCCCGCGGTCGTGAAACCAACTCAGTCCTCCCGCCCGCAAGCACCACTCTCTCCTCCGGTTCTGTCCAATCCTCCTCCACATCTGCGTCCGCCTCCGCCACAGCAGCCGCCACAGACTGTGGCGGGCAGGCGACACGTGATTGTAATGCAGAAGCGTTGTGGCTCGCAGGTCGAAGGTTGGCTCTACTAACGCTGAAGCAAGAGATTCATCACGAGTGAATATGTCTATCTGTTGCCTCAACTCCTGAGGTGAGACTATGGACTCTGGTCTCACTCCGCACACCTGTGGCTCTGCATCGTCCTCCTGACCTCCTCCGGTGCCCTCTTGTCTGCCTCTGCAGCAGAGGCGGAGGTGGGTGCTGACGCAGCGTTGGGTGGTGAGGAGGCGGACGTAGAGGATGAGCCAATTGCACAGGGCCTGCAGCGCAAATGCGGCACGGCATCAATGACGATTGATAGACCACCTATGCATCCGGCGTGCCATACGAGATCATCCGATGCTACACGCTCTCGTAGCAGGAGGCTTTAGAAGTTTAGAGGTTTCTAGTTCCTCTGTCAAACTCGACATGAGACGGGGGCTCCTTTGCATGCCTCCCAACCTCTCTATCTCGCTCTAAACACTGTCGTGCTGCCAGCACCTGTGTAATCCGGCATGCTCTCACCATCCTCTGGGCCTCCTTGACCTCCCGATCCATGCACCCCTCCTCTGTATTCACCCTGCGCTCGTCAAAAGTCACATACTCCGCAACATCCCCCACTCTCCCATCCCGCACCATGGAAGCGGCAACCTCACCCGCAAAAGCTTCGCCCATGTCACAATCGTCGAGTCCGCTGGGCGAACCACCGCCAGGCGAAGGCATGCGTCCCCCATCCAATCCACAGCGCAAAGCACTGCTAGGAGAAGGCATACGTGCCCCATCCAGCCCGCAAGGCAAACCAGCACCAGGCGAAGGCATACATACACTATCCAGTCCGCTATGTAAGGCCCCCAACCCTAACTCCCCTTGGTCGGCGGTACGAGCGGGACGATCCCTGCGGCTGTTGGGTACAGACATGCTGGTTGTTTTCTTTTTTATATTTATCTTTCTGTATTTGTTGTGAAGGGACTCCAATTATTGTCCCTTGTAGGACGGTTCTAGCTCTTTGGACTTTGTTCACCAGTTTCTGAGTTGATGCAGTCTCAAGTTTGAGACTTGATTGTGTGCCTCGTATCATGTCCACCCGTACCCCGAACCCTAAACCCTATAACCCAAAACCTAAACCCTACACGCTATACCCGGACAAGAGTGTCAACGCGTATGCTATAATGTTCAGCAGGACCAATAGTATGTGTGTGTGTGTGTGTGTGTGTGTGTGTGTGTGTGTGTGTGTGTGTGTGTGTGTGTGTGTGTGTGTGTGTGTTATTGGGTGTGTGGGTGTGTGATTGTGTGTGTCTTTGTGTGTGTGTGTGTGTGGTGGTGGGGGGGGGTTGATAAGAGTGTGTGCCTCTGTGTGGGTCTGTGTGTGTGTGCAACAGCGGTTGCATGCGGTGCTGCAACCACTGTTGCAACTAGTGCTGCAGCACCAGATGCAAGAACTGCTGCAACGGCTGTAGCACCTGCAGCAGGTGGAGTACCTGCTACACCTGTTGTAGCCGTTTCGCGGGTGCGTGCGGTACTGCAACCGCTGTTGCAACTACTGCTGCAGCACCGGATGCAAGAACTGCTGCATCGGCTGCAGCACCTGCAGCGTGTGCTGCTGCAGCACCTGCAGCAGGTGCAGCACACCTGCTGCACTTGCTGTAGCCGTTGCAGCAGCTCTTTTTTATTTTTCAGTTTATTTTATACTGTGCAGCGGTTGCAACTGCAGGTACTGCAGGTGCAGGAGGTGCAAAAGGTCCTGCAGCTGCACCTGTTGCACCTGCAGTACCTGCAGCTGCAAGTGCACCAGCTGCAGCTACTGCTGCAAGTGCTGCAGCTGCATCTCCAGCAGCAGAACCCCCACCAACCCCCCTCCCCCCTTCCACGGTTGTGCACGCCCCCCAATTTTTCTTTTTCCCCACAAATACTTATGAAAGGATTTCACGCTGTCAGTCCCAAGTCCCGGTCCCAAAGTCCCAAGTGGTCCTTGTTCCAGGTTGTCCCAGTAGGTCGAGTCCAAGGGTCCATAGGTCGCAACGTTGTAGGTCGGTAGAAGTCAGGTACCGAAGCTTCACGGGTAGGTAAAAGTCCATAGGTACCGCTAGGGGAAGTCCAGTCCCAAAGTTCAATTTTGCGGCAGCATCCCAAGGAAGTCCGGGGATTTCCGAAATACCAAAAATGGCAACAGAGGCTGCGGGCAACTGGTACTGGTCCAAAGCAGGCCGATGCCGTCAACTGCAGCTATTTATAGCTGCTATAGTGTCAAGGCCAACAGATTGTTCATTTACGAAGTTGCGGAAGCGCTGCTGGTTGCTTGTGCGATCGTGCGACCTGGACAGAGGGAGGAGGGACTGGGGAGAAGCGAGCGCCCTGGTGAAGAGAGGACAATCAAAGCTAGGCATAGGGAGGAGGAAGAAGGCGGCCACAGGCGCAGTAGGTCAGAGCACCACAACCCAGTTGTACTCAGGGTAGATCCTAGTAGTCAGAGTCGGAATCCGAGTGCATAAGGGAGGTTGAGTGACACAAGACTTGAGAGTGAGAGAACATTCAGATAGTGAGAGACAGAGAGAGAGAGAGAAGAGAGAGAGAGTCACACATCGAGGAAAGGGGAGTCGGGTTGCAGTTTTGGGTTGCAGCCATGGCCGCTGGATACTTGAACTCTCCAATTGTATAATATCATTTTTTGAGTGGAAATCCATCTGCCGCTGATTCATGTGTTCTCTCTCGGGCGTGTTGTGAACCCTCATGTCTCATGTGAATGCTCTATCTTCTTGCATGTTTGAGTTGGGTTCATTGCTCATAACCCAACAGAGCCCCCCCCCCAAAAAAAAAATCCGAGTTTGGGGTGGCTTTCTTTTTCTGAGGGCCCTTGTAGACCGCTGCAAACCACCTCCCTCGAAGAAGCAATTTTTTTAATTTTTTTTTTCATGGGGGGCCCCAGCCCTTGTAGACCCCTGCAAACCACCCCCAGGCGGCACCCCCCCCCCCCGGGCCACGTGGCGGCCCGGTCTCTGCCATGACCGCGACCCCCAGTCACAACCGGTGCGGTCAGTGGTCACGGGGATTCATAGCCGCAGGCTGTTGATGAAATTCATCAACGGAAGCCGCAAACCCCAAATGTCGTGGGCATTAACGCCGAAGGTCTTGGTAGGTATGGCGGTTTAAACTACCAGTAGTTTTGACCCTTCCGTTGCTGAGCCTGGAAAGGCCCTGTGTTCCAAAGGAAACAGAACTGGTGTGGGCCTTCTTTTGGCTGGCGCCGTCAGCCGTTTTCCTCCGGTTGGCTGACCCCGAAACTTGTGGCTGTATGCACGCCACATCAGAGAAAAATGGCAGGCAAACGTGCTGGCGGTACCTGCAGGGTTCCTTTTGCTGAAGCAGATTTCCGCCTGCATGCACCAAAACCGTGTGAGCTTTTTTTTTTTTTTTTTTTTTTAATAATGTATCATCATCGAAGTGACCGACCCTAGGTAATTAAGGAATATCATTCATCTACTTCAATCTGGATTCGAACTCAGGTCTCAATTTCAGCAGTTCATAGGTGTACAAACTGAGCAAGGCCCGTTGGAGTACAAGCTCTGTTTTGGCTGGCGCTGTCAGGCATTTTCCTTGGGTATGCCGAGCCCTGAAAGTCGCAGTGCGTGCACGGCTGTGCTGGAGAAAAATGGCTGGCAAACGTACTTTTGGTTTAAACCACCACTCCCCTCAACGGGAACAGGTAGCACTGTTTTATAAGCCCTACCCATAGCACAGTTCTGTAAAAATGAATGTAAATAAGAAAAAAAAAACGCTAGTCTGGGCGCGCCGCAAATGTATTTTT